AGGAGCGTGCTCTTCGGCTCTAATTCCTCGCCCTCTTTACTCTCCTCTGGCGACTTCATAACTATGAGTCGCATCCCTAACCCGTTCCTCGGTGGCCAGGGACAGCAACAGAAGACGCCACAGAAAGCTCCATCGCCTGGATTCTTGTTAATGACGAGGCCTCCGACGGGGTCCAACAGCTATGGGGGCAACGCGTCCGGGGGATTCAAGGACCAGTTCTCGTCCTCGAACACGAGTCCGTCGCGGGCCGCAGAGAGTTTTATCCCCTTCTCGGCGATCGGGAGCAATCATGACGGCAATAGACGTGGGGGAAACCGAGGCGGTGGTGGGAGTGGCAGATACAACCGTGGAGGTGGGAGACACATGACAAACCAGACCCCTCAGAGGTTCCCTTATCCGTACCAGCAGAATGCCGGGAGAATGCCCAGTCCGTATTGCCAGGGTGGGCAAGGGTACGGGAATTCGCCGAGAGGGAGGCAGAATCATGGAAATCAGCGTGGGGGCCGGTTCGGTGGTGATCACAACAGGTTCAATTCCAATAATGGCAACAATCCGAGAAGAATGAATGCAAACACCCCCTTAAGTGATGTCCCAATTGATAAGTTTGTGTCACCTAATATGGTAAGGGATCCATGGGAGCATTTTGAGAGTGATGAAGCTATAGAACCTGAATCTAGTCCGGTTATAACTTTAGATAATTCGGAAATTATAATCGACTCAGACACAAGCGTAGTTATTGAAAATTCCTATGAAGAAGGTGTGAGTGGGACTGAGGGCGACAGTTCCCCAGTGCATGACACTGGAAGTGATTCCCCTTATGTTGCAACGTCGTCAACCTCAGAAAAGGATACGGGAAGCGATACAGCGAGTGATGCATAGCAAAATCTTTGGGCTTTGTCTCTGAGATATGGGCTAGGCGTTTGTGCAGTTATAGATATATATGTATTTGTTGTCCCCCCCCACCCCAAGTTATTTCTTTCAAATATCTTTTATTGTAATTAAGGTCTTTATTTCAAGTAATACATATATCCCAATCAAAGCAATATCTTAACACTCATATAAATGAGTATGAAGTTCAATATCTGTATGGGACCTTTTTTTCTTTGTCTTTTTTTTATAATTTTAAAGAGAGGGTTATGACTGAAGAATAAGTCACAAAACTTGAAAGTGTAACAGATGGAAAGAATAATATATTCTGTGACATATTCAGAGATGTGCATTGTAGATTTATTAGTTGGCAGTCTTCCTAAAGGTTGCTTTTTCTTTCTTTTTTTATATTTATTTCTTTCTTTTTTGGACACCTTGTTTTAAGACTAACACTAGCCTCATTAATGTTAAAAGTACAAAATGTATCAACAAAATGTACAAAGCAATCAATCAGTTCATAAGCTATAGATTTCTACAGTTTTATGAATTTTCATGTCAATCTCAGATTATTATAATTTCTCTTTTTTTTTTCTTTTTTTACCATTTGTCTTTGTTGCCAAACACTTTCCTAGCAGATTTTTACACTGTTGGCTTCTCAAGTAGTTTTCAAATGAGCAGTTCAAGACTGTAGGTGAATTACAGTATTGTAAGGTTTTAGATATTTTGTACCTTTAAATACTTGATGTTAACGACTGGAATATTTGAACTTGACATTTCTTACGACAGTGTTACATTTGTAAATGTAAAGCCATTGAAAGGAGGTATTTAAGGTTATTATTTTGTTAGTCTTCGACAGGTAGTATTGATTAGATGTAAAATATGAGAATAATATGTCTTATGTGTATGCTGTAGAGGAATCTGTTTTTTTCATCATGAAAACTTTTTATTGTATTGATGTCTTTTGGAATGATTATTAAGAATACTTATATTAGACTATTTTGATAATGTTTGTTATCATTAAGCAAGCTGTTTGTGTTTAATGTGCTTATGCAAAATAAAGTATAAAATTTCAAGGATATTACAGAGTAAAAGAAAGTATGTATTCATATTCATATTGATATAATGCTTTCCTTTCTTGTTTTCAAAAGGTTATTAGGCTCTGTGTACTCATGGCAGTGTTTGAGATAGTTGAGATTTCTATTTATATCTTAGTAAGTACATTCATTATAGCTATCAACTGACATTATTCATGCTTAGGCATATTGTTATGTTTATAAATGTAACATGGAAATTATTGTACAAAGTTTTATGCTATTCTGTATATTTTTAAAAAGATTGACTGTTCTCTAGATTTGTGAATGAATTGATTTTTTAAAATGTGAGTGCATGATGAAATTGGGCCCAAGATTGAATACCCTTTTTTTTTTTTCTTTTCTTTTCTTTTCTTTGCCTTGAGTGTTCAAACAATCCGGTGAGACACCAGCAGTTGTTGTTTATGTAAACATCCTCGGAGCATTTCTTGCAAAAGGGATGGGGATGTGTCTCGGTAAAAGGAGAGCCTCGTTTTCTTTTGCTTTGCCAAGGGCAGCATTGTAGGGAAGAAAGATATTTATTAAAGGGAATGTCCTCTAGA